AACGAAAGTTTGCGCACATTTACGAGAGCCCGACAAATAAACCGAAGGATTGGAGAAGGAGCGCGCAAAACCAATATTTTATTTATATTATGGAATGAGTGAGAACTTTGTTTTATTTTAATTAACACTTTGAGATATCTAAGGCTTTCTTAGTGGTTGATGGGGTTGTTTTTGAGTATTATATGCTAAAATAAAATGGGTCTCAAGTTTAGATATTTTTGTAGACATCAAAAAAGGCATCTTAGATTGCAAACAGATTATCGACGATAATACTTGGTGAAATTTTCTTCGTTTCTTAATTCGTTCTAAATAGCGTAAAGAAACGCGTAAGGAAGCGATTCAGCAGAGCGTTTTCTACTCATTTGCCCAATCCGACTGTGGCGACTAGATTCAATGAGGTATAGAATCGATGAACTTAGTCGACGAGAATTTCTCGTCGAAATTCCGGACCGTGAGAATCTTGACGGGATCGGAATAATAAGAGCCCCTCGTTATTAAATTAATTTGAGTTGGGACAAAATGGTGCTGGATATAGCGATGGAAGAAATTTAAATAGACGTAACTTCGTTCGAGGCGTTGCTCGTAAACAATTTATCTTGCGGTAGGTTTCCGTCACTGTAATATTCGTGCGTCACTTAAATAACTTTCCTTTAACACGAGACATTGAAATGTTTTTCGGCTAGTATATTCCCGAGTAATTTTCTCTGTAAATGTATTAACAGCCTGTGTGTATTCTAAAAAATTATCTAATAATCTGTATAAGGAATATAGAGTACCAGTTTTTGAGTATTGACTTGAAGACAACGCTTGATCGATGATATGCTTCATTAATGGCGATCGGAAAGTTTCGTATACACTATATTGACTATATATTGCAATTGTAAATGCCGATCGATACTAACGAGAAGCAATCTCCATCGAAATAATTTAAGGGGAGAGAAAGAGTCACTGGGGCGCGAGGGGGGGAGGGAATACAAAAAGATGGGCGAAAGAGTCGACCCTTCGTAGAGGCGCGAACGAGCGAGCAAGCGACCCTTCGAAAAAGGAACGCGAGCGGGTGGAAGTCGCAAGGTCGCGTCCGGGGTGTATAACGAGTTCGAAGTTCGAACGGGATTGGGTGGCGTCGTGGACCGGATAGACAAAGGCAGACGGAGAAAAATAAAGGGACAGTACGAACGAGACGGCGCGATCATCCGTCCGGAATTAAATTGGCCGCGGGCGAGATGCTCGCGAGGCCGTGAAATTACCATTTTGAAGCTGCAACGCGCTTTGAAAACCACCGCCATCATCGACGGTCTCTTTTACTCGCGCGACCTGTCGCACCGCGGTCTTATTCTTATTAGCGGTATTCACAGTCGTCTCTCTGAGGCGAGGGCCGGATAACGGAGACCGCCGGATCGTCGGATTATTGAGCGCGCGATATCTCAATAACGTGAGTTTAGAGGTTCGGACTAGAGGGATCGGATAATCCGTCATTGAAACCGCATCCGAGGATCGGCTGGCGTATCCAACGTGGTCTCCCATTTCGATTACGAGCAAGTCTCTCGCGTTTCGCGGACATTCGCTGATTAATATTGAGACTCGATGAATAACATACGATCCAGAGTCGAACAAAGAGACGTGCCGACGAATTCTCGCGCGCGAGGATCTCGAGTTGGTTAATTGCTAATTAGTGCAAAATTCTCGCGGACCGATATACCGAATAACGGAATGGAGGAAGTAATTTTTGTTTGAATTCTCTTGGTCCTGTTAAAAATTCGGGCGGACCCCCGTAATCTAGCCGAAGGACTGGCATTAATTAAGCGCTTTTCCGAAAGAAAAAACTTTCTCGTGGAGCGAATTACCGCGCGACGCCGGGCTTAAGTTGTAAAAGGAGTCACGTTGACTTACGAAAAAAATGGTTACTGGAAGCAAGAGGAGAAAAAAAATGTGACACCGCTTATATTACGTCGTTGTCCGTGCGTCATGCCTCTTGCTTTGCAAGACGATGCGCAATAATGCGTATAGACATTTTCGAGAAACTTCAATAATTTTATAAATTTTGTTCTCCTTGCTTGTATGTGTGTGCGTCTCTAGCGGTTGGAAAACTTCGATTTGATTGGATAACTTCGATAACTTGGACGACAATTTGCAGAGTGCTGGTAATCTTTTATGACAGGTATAAGCCATATGGTGCTACAGTAAAGACACACATCTAGCGTGTCTCGTGCAGATTATATTATCTGCAGCGTACTATAAAATGGAGTTAGATTAGCGAAGCTAACTTTGCGCGGCGGTAAATGAAGGTTGCAATATATATCCAAGAAAGTACAATACTTGACTCGATTTTCGATAATCAGGGTTCTCATTAACTAGTCGATTAATCTTCCCGGCACTGCGTTGTCTCCAAATGCAGATAACTCCGTTTCTTAATGTTACTTTATTAATTTTTGCAAAAGTACAACAATATCATTTAACATTCTACTATTTCCTCTCTCGATTTTTAACTTTTTAATAGCAAAACGATAGAGAACTCTTGAAGATGAATCCTGTGTGCGTCCTCTCTAACTATACTTTAATTTGCCGCCGCAAAGAGCATTCCCGTCAGATCTGACAAAAGCGCAAAGTAAAACCGAAGGAATGGGGGAAAAGGGCGCAGGATCGAATAAGCGAAAGTGTTAATAGAAAACGATCGCGGCGAAAAATCTGCGCAAACGATTCGTCCGTGCCAGAACGGGGATACTTTGGTGTCACCAAGTAACAATGCGTGCCTTTTCTCACATGTACACGTGACCACGTGGTGCAGTCACGTTTAATTCGTCTCAAAGGTGGCTTCAAGCTGAATTACTAGAGGCGCGACAATGAAACAATTAAGGGTCGAGAGGAGGCTGAGCCAATTTACGGCACACGTAATTAAGGCCGTTGCAGGGAAGACGAGAGGAATAGACGAAAAAAAAATAGCCGCCGGTGGAAAAACAACGAAGATCGCTGCCATTTCACCACCGTATTCCTCTCAGCTGCTCACAAAAAGAATTATTGCCCGTCGCAGAAGTTAATTAGTTAATTAGGGCCGTGGGCGGTGGTAGCTACAGTTTATTAATTTATTGGTTGTATAATATATATCATTAGTCATATATTAAATATTAAATTAGTTATTAGATATAATAATTATTAATATATTAAGTTATATCTATATCAAATTTTTTAATTAAATAATTATTACATTACTTGAGTATAAATATTACCTATACTAGTTATTAGTAATTTTTTTGCAAATCTCTTCAATGTGTTTTAGAAATTACTTATATAGCAATTTACATCGGAAATTTTTTATTTAAACGAATAATTTATTTGTGCAGCTTAATGGAGATTATTTGAGAAAATGTAAAATATAAGAAGAAACAAAATATTCGATAAAACTGCCGTTGACGTCAGAATATACAATACCGGCATCGCTATTAAGCTTTTTGTAGCATTTCTTCAGCTACTTGAGCTATCATTTGAGTCATAACAATCGACATCGTAAACTTTATTGAGATGAGGCGTGATTAAATGATTCTGAAGCCACTTATTGCTCTTTTGACTTGACACAGAAGAAGCTATCACCGATGAGCTCAACTCCAACAAAGTGTTTGCGAATGCTCTCAAAGTGGCCTCAAAGATCCTTTAAGCGCGTAATCTCTTGGCGCGCTTTGCACGAGCATCGAATATCGTAATACCGAGTTATTCGCGTATTGACACGCCTCGCTCTCTCAATCCACTCGCCACGAGAACGGCTCTCGAGCGCGGCCACAAAGTGGAACGAGAGGGAGGCAGAAAAGCTACGCAAGAGTGACACGGGACGGGAGATCGGCCGCGGTGGCTTAAGAGGATGAAAGGGGAAGGTAGGAGAGAAGTTTACGTGCCGTCGTCGGTGTGACGGAATAAATCGTCGATCCGACAGGTGTAAGTTGTACGATCAGCGCAAACTCCGGTCCTCCGCTAGTCGCAACTTTTCGCAACACAAACACGCGCGCGCGCGCGGGAATCCATACGTTCATGGTGACACATCATTTTCCCGTCCGCGGCTTTTGATGGCGAAGCTACGAGAGTTCCACTTTTCGTGGGAAAATTTCGGCGTCCGCCAAAGTACGCGGCTCCGGGCTCTCACGTTGCTCTTTTACGGGGAACAATGGCATGTCGCCAGGATGGGATCGAGTCAATGTGTGTTTGCAAACCACAACTCGGTCCTGTTGTACACGAAGTTAAGGTAAAACTTTAGCGGGATGAGCAGCTACATTAAAGCGTAAATTATTATTTGAATGATGTATGAATAATTGCTCGGATAATCTCTTTGTAATTTTTAATAAGCCGGAAACGAAATCGAGGACGCAGAAAATGGATAGAACTTAAGCACGATCGGATACATATGAAAACAAAAGTTTATTTTCTTAAAGTAAGATGTTAAGTTCTCGTCATAAACGTATCTTTTAGTCTCATGTACTGATATCATAGATATATATCTTTCTATATATTGGTCAATTACAATTTTAGCAGTAAAATAGCAAACACCTCCGACGAGTTAGCACTCCATTTTCAGAACTTCGATGTAACTTATATAGAGTACCTCTTCCTGAGAATAAGAGTTCTAGAGTTCCAATATTTTCTTAATAGTTTTGAATAGCGTTTCAAGAATTCTGTTAAAAAGAATTCAAATCTTCTCTGATTAAAATAAAATAAATGTCTCATATCTTAATATCTTAAAATCTCTATTTTTACGCACTTTATCGCCAGAATTCTTTCTGAAATGTATCAGAAATTTTTTTGACGAAATGCCAATATTCTATCAATTATTGAAGAAACTTGAAAAATGAAATATTGACTTCACGGAAGTCCAAACATTTTGATATTTACCGTCACAGAATTTGTCCGCAAATACATAATTTTATGAAGAAAATTTATAAATATGAATATTATTTGAGTATTATTTATGTGCACATACTTATAGGTAATATATTTATAAATATCTGTTTAATTAACAGTATCGGCCGGAGATGAGGAAGGCGACTCTGTTAGCCGTCGTAACGATTTTGCTGTCGGTGACGGCACGCGATGCCACGGCAGAACTTTACACCGCCCTGGCGGATATGGAGGAGCTGCTCGAAACGGAAGCTGTGCTGATCGACACATTGAACGGATACATCACGGCGCAAGAGCAACGATTGGCAACTCTGAGAAGGTAAAGAGCACCGTCGTGAATCGGTTGGTCCGCGACGCAGGACCAAATAGGAAAGCGCGCGTTACACATCGGTTATCCTTACTCTCAGACGCGCTGGTGAGATTTTTTTGCGAGTATGGTTCTCTTCAATTCCCAATTAATTAAGATATCGCACAGCCACCGTTGTAATATACCGCGGTGCGCTGAAATATCCTGCGGCTAAATAGACGCTTCGTCGATCTCGGGATTTCCTTAACTTTGCCACAAAACGAGTGCCCGTATTTTCAGAGAGTCCCGAGAGGTTTTCAATATATTTCCGTGTCTTGCGTAACCCGCGCCAGAAAGTCGTTTTTACCGCGGATACGGGAGATTGCAGTCCTTTGTGCTGCTACTATTGGTACGGATACTCTGCTGCCGCGCATGCTGCCGTCGATTTTTTCGCATTTTATTTATTCTCCCTTTTTAACATTTCACCGAGCGTGTATATTCATTCGGTGTACCGATATTTGATCAGCCACATGTAACGAATCATTCTGCAGAAATAATTTTGGCTATCGAGTCCTGTTAAATTCCTCCTTTTTTTTGCCTATGCATATAACAGCAAATAATCGAATTTGGAGCTCTTTGGTTATCCTGAATACCGTTTGACTTTATTGTATTATAACATATCATGCGAAAATTGTTATCGATCGGCGCGACACCAGCGTTAATTAAACGTTGGTCGAATAAAAAATATTACGTGATATCAAAGTTATACGGCGACGACATCGAACATGAAAAGTGGATCACCGAGGTACTTACCGGCGCGGCGCGACGGTTTCCTCGTTCCACTTTCCTCAAAAGCGACCGTTAAAACGAAAGGTGATTAAGGAAGGAGGGCTATTTCATGGGGAGAGTCTTTCGCGAATGGCTCCCGCCCCGACCGATTGTCCTTTTCTTTTTCTTTATCTTCCCGCGGGTGCGATTTGGCATGCTGCCTGATTCGATACCGATGCCTTCGACCACCTTTCGCGAATAAGAAAGGAAATGGAGCGAAAAGGAATAAGAAAAGAGTGAATACATTAAGATTGGATCCCGATCCGACTAAAATCGGTAACACTTGTGCTGGAGAGATAATCGTAAAAGTGAATCCCAAAGTGATCAAGTCCATTTATGGAATGGTCGGAATGTAATTTTGTGAAGAAGCTAAATAAACGAAGTGGTAGGATCGAAATTATCTCTTCATTAGGGATTATTAGGAAAACAAGCTTTGTAGCTGTAAGTTACAGACTACAGAGCAAAAATAACGTAACGTCATTGTTTAACTACGTTAAAAATCGCTATTACTTCGCACAAACTTATATTTTCTTTATAAAAGAAACAAATAAACACCAAGAATCTACGTTATCTTACGTGATTTTCGATCTGATGGAACTCATTGATGAGATTTAATTACTCTATTTTGTCGTCTATTTAAGCTTTCACTGCAGATTTGATTTTTTTTAAGAAAGTAACTTTCCAGACATACGTTCTTCTGTTTCCTAGTTTCGGAACAGTGCACTTGTTCCGCGAACCACGACGCATTAATCCAGAGGATAGTTTAGGCATTTCTGTCCGGCGCAACGGGAGCGGCGAAACGCGAAACGAGTAATACGCGCGGGACAACGGAAAAGTTTTCAGCAACATTTATTTGGGACGTTCCCGTGCGGAATTTAACACACGAGTCGACGACCGAACGCGACTCGCTCTCGAGAAAATCCTGTCAGGCTGTCACGGACACGCGACACGATGAGGAGGCCCGGAGCGTGCGCTCGTCGTGTCGCGAGTCGCGAGTCACGAGTCACGAGTCGCGAACGGGGTTTTACTCATTCCCGTGCTTTGAATCTCTATGGCCACTCAAAAACCCGCCGATCGCAATCGAATCACGCGGCGGTCACGCACCAAAATCCTGCGTAAACCGCACTCGCGGCTGCCGACTCGCTTCTGCGCGAATTTCGTTAATTCCGGATCGATCGGAAATCCGCGGACGGGAATCCCTTTTTAACGCGTTTATAAATTGTGTAACATTCTAAAACAGCCTGCAGTGTCCTCGATGCTGTGAAATACATGTAACAGCAAGAAATCTCGACGACTCGTCAACATTCGCGCGCAAAAGTACAAGTTTTCGCAGACGACAGACAGAGATCTTATCCCGTCATCGATCGATATGCGATTCGGAGATGATCGTAACTCGTAACTCTTCATTACACTTTGTTCTGTTCGAAATAACATATGTGGATGTATGCGTAGCGAAATCGCGAATTAGACACCTCTTCGCTCGTTCGCTCCGAAGACGCGCGATGTTAATGACAATAAGTTTTCGTCCCGAGTCTCGCCTCGAATCAGACCGTTATATGCCGAATAATTACTCATGCGAACGGAGTTTGTAATCTATACCGGGATTCTCTCCGAGCTAACGATAAATCAGCCATCGTAGCCGCGGCGTCCATCATAGTCGAACCATCAAATATGTAGCAAGGGGAAAATCATTCGCGAAGAATATATATCGCCGATTTCCTTCTGCCTGCCTGCCAAGCTGCCTGCTGGCGCACCTGGCTCTTCTCCTTTTTCTCTCCGCCGCGCCACGCGTTCCGTTTCCCGTTTTGCATAGATGTTCAAAGTTCGGCGATTGCAATCCAGTCACGGGATGGCCATTTCATACGAGTGGAATTCAAAGGCGCGCAGACATACACGCGAGCACGCCCCGAAAGCGAGCGTATAATGGACACGTATAGGTATATGAACACGTATATGAACTGATGGAGATAACGTACGATTCTACGCTTCCGTTTATGTACTGCTTACCGTGCGCGCCAAGACTGCACGTGTCGCCCGTTTTATCTGCATGAGTCCACAGGGAACACAAATATTTTCACCTACAATCCGAAAAGCATGCGGAATTAGTTTAATTAGGCGAATCTAATCTAACATTTAATTCATGTTATTTAAAGCAAGTTATAGAGATTTCAAAAATATTATTTACTTATCGCGCACTATTTTGAATTCTTGGAGAACTGTGCAGAGGATTGCAAAGTACTATGTCGATTTCATCTCGGCATATGTATATGCAAAGAGTTAACTTTACATATCTTGATCTCTTACCATGGTGATTTCACTCATCTTTCATGCCACGTCAATTTTTTTATCATTAATTTTGTAGAGCATTGTTAAATGTCGACGAAATATTTTTAGGCGTGTTGAGAGTCAATTAGAGACGGAATACTGTTAAATCCAAGTCTTTATTGTACACTGTTACAAACGCGACCTTCTTCTTCCGCCATCTTCTTTACTCTCCTCCTTCCGCCTTCCGCTCGTCGCTCGCTGCGACTTTCGATAGGTATATCGATACGATACTTTTCGCTCGACTCTTTTTCGACTTACAACAGGTGGAAAAAAATTTTCATTGCGATAAGAGATAGAGATGTACATACTTGGCACATTTTTCTTTACATTTTTGTGTTTTTTTAAGCGCTCGAATTTTTATCTGTAATCCGAAAAATATTTCGTGTACCAGCTGAAATAAGCGCGAATCTAACCGAAGGGGAAGACACACGCGTGTACGCGATACAGGTCTCGGGAAGATTTATCGTCTTATTTAACGCAACTCGATAGAAACTCGATAGAAACGAGCGGATCACGCGAGACGCGAGAGTACTAATTGCAAGTTAATTATATCGTGCGTCCGCACGAGTTTCGATAGCTGTTCAACCGGTGGGCGGTGCACGGTTAATATACGATTCTGAGGTGATTCTTTGCTTTTTCTTCGTTCAAAATAACATTTGTTACTTTTGATACGTATGTAACGAAACTGTTCGGCATCAATTCGCTCATTCATTTCACGCAGTCGCGAGTCGTCGCGAAATGCAGGCGGCGCGGCGCGGCGCGGCGCCCTGTCTATCGGGATAATTGCGCAAGTTCCGTAAGTCGTTCGCGGATATTAAAAGCGTCTTATCTCGCTCACGAAACGGGCGTTGCTCCGAGCAAGGATAGTATTTTCGGACGCGCTTATCCGACTTGGCGATTACGCGCACGCAAATTGGTGCATTGATGCGCCGATGCGAAAAGTGCCGACTGATGAGAGTGTCGAGAATTCCACTCATTTCGTCGAGGAAACATCGTGCTTCTCGCCGCGAATAAAATCGAGATTCGTTTCACCTTTCGCGCCAATAACTCAATTGCTTATTAGGAAGGAGAATTAAATAGAACGCGCGCGAATGTACAGTCGTCGGTGATAGTTTAACGGAGGGAAATGTCCTCGGCGAAGTAAGCTGAATTTTCAAGCTAGGGATTCGTAGGACAAACGAGCTGGGTCGAAATGCAACCACCGGAAGCGCCATTACTGATATTAATAATCGCGATTACGCCGCGGCAGTACCGGTGGCCGTTCGAGCGCTCCCTCGGGAGAGCGAGAGCGTCGTTGTAATTGGCTCCGATAAGATAACAAAGTTCTATCACAAGCGCGTCCGCGCCCTGTAACTATTTGCTTCTAATTAAACGTCCTGCCCGGCGATCGATCTGTTTTTATCGTTGAGAGGATCGTTCGAGAGGATCGCGTAGGGGAGGGCGTAAGCGAACGCAGAAACAAATCTTTCTCGAGTATCCTCATTTACCCGATACTTTCGTTACCTTTTATTAATTGCTATCGGTATTGCACGGTGTTTCCTTTTTCCCTCTCTTATCGTTTCTTTTTTTTATCGTCCCAAAGGTTGGCCGCGATGGTACAGGTCCTACCTTAAACAGACGAATGATGTTTGCGAGCGAACATGAAGCATGAAGTATATATAGGTAATTGATATAGGCACACGTTTTTATACGCGGCTATTCTTCACGCTGAAAGGGTTTGAATATAGACGTCGTTAAAAACCGGATATATCTATTATTCTGATTCTTTGAAGTTTTGAACCGCGCACGGATGTCTGCTTCGTGCACAAAACCAATATTTCATGAAGGAATTATTCGTGTCCGAACACATATCAAAATCATTTCCCAAAAATACTTGACCGAGTTAATCAAGAAATAAAATGTTTATTTGCACGTAAACTTGCGTATTCACCAGTGTACGCTAACTATATTTAATTTTACGGTAATTAGAGGAAACACGATTGGAATTATCGACGGAATTCCGGTAAAATATTTCTCCTTTTCGCTGCGCACGAGAAATCGATCGCGCGGTATGCGCCACGTTACATTCGACCCCCGGGATTGCTGCAATATTTTCTGCGATAAGGCAGAATATTCAACAAGCTTAAGATTTTTTAATAAAACTCCCTCCGATAAAATCCTGATTGGACTATCCGACAGTAGAGCTCGCACCTCAGCATATGTGGGATAATTTTTTTTTTTTCGAGTACCTACTTTCACATCTCATATTTTCGTTGCACTGAATTGGATTAATGTAATTGTTTTAATTAAATTATTAACGTGATCGGACATGCAATACATATTGTTTGCGTAAACGAAACTTGGTATCTTGCAACACTTGGTATATTCCTTGGATGGAAGCCTTCCCTACCCGGTACCCCCGTTCAATTAGCATCAACACACGGATATTCTGTGAAACGATACTGCTAACAGCGGCAGATCGAATCGCATGGGAGACAAGTCGCGGCATAGAATTACGTATCGAATATTCGTGGGTGCTACGATCGAAGACACATGTAGCATACGTGTCTGCGTGTACACGCGGCTTACGTGCTTTGCCTTTAGGCATTAGACAATACCCGGGTCGCGTATCAGTGATGTACCTGTCGCCATTATATGTTCTGATACACCATCCCTCCGGGTAACATCGCGTTATTAATACGAGATAATTAACACGCGACATTTTAGATGCTTATCAAATGTTCATTAGCATAATGAAGTGTACATTTTCACGCAGCTTGGAATACGGTAACGTTGAATCTCGAGAAAAACCGGGAAATGATATTTAGGCTTTTCTACGAAATTATATTTTTATTCTTCTTAAATAAGAATAAAGTTACATAAAGATTATATATATGTATATAATCTCATATCTTCTATTTAGAATACATTTTGATACATTTTGTATAATCGATGATGTTAAATCTGAAGAAAATCTAAATACAATAAGTTGATCATGGAATTCTCGCTCTGTACATATTACATGCATATATGAAATTATGTTGTTTAAACATCTAGATAAAATGAAGAACATTTTAAGAGAGACTTAAGGGCCTATTCTGTAAACGGTTAACGCCATCGTTACGTGGTTTGCGCAGATATAATATACCACAGAAATGCTGCGCATCGTTAACGTTTACAGAATAGGCCCCTTATTCATTAATATCAAATACATTCGAGATATAATTCACGTATATTTTCTGAACAATTCGTTAGTAAATAATTCATTGGTACATCAAAAAGTAAGAGATTTATACTTTCAGGTCAATGAATGTTCTTAATATACATCTTAATACACATAAATAAACACATAATTTACATGTACACTTTACACATTTTACACTCATACCATCATACAAATGAAAAATTGTAGAATCAATGCATACGTTCCATGTAACCAAAGTTCAATATAGTTGCTCGTTTTGCGGCGATCGATACGATCGAAAGATGTGCTGACAGTAGAACAGCGAAACAATGTTTTCGAGATTTTTGAAACGGCCGTATCTCGAAAAAATTCTTGGACTTCGCGTTATGCTTCATCACATTGGCTGTTGTGGTGGGTACATTAACGGATACCAAATCGGCACTTGAATATATTGAACAAAACACAAAGGCGGTGTTCTAGGGAAAAATTCCTTCGCGTGCGGGTTTAAAGGCGATATTTGGATTTTCGAAACCTGATTCAGGTGCGTCTGCAATTCTTTTCGGTCCATCCCGTACAGATCAGCCGCGTCTAGATATTTCTTCCAAAGATCTTTGCAGCAACCTATAGTAAGCAGAGCGACTGGATCGCCTACGACCGCCACAAAACACTTAGCCCTTGTTAACGCAGTGTTTAATAAGCGTGGATCCGTTAAAAAGCCATAGTCCTTGATTTTTACCTCGGCGCTCGATCTGTAACAATCGTAACAATTGATAATGATGTTTGAGCGTCATCTAAAAGTGTTTGTGTCATCGGTATTAAAGTCAATACCTGTCAGATATCCTTGTTCGAACTGTGCTGATAAAAACTGCAGTGAATTGCTTGCCTTGGACATTTAACACCCTCTCGACAGACACATCAAAAAGCAGGCGCTTGCGCAACTCGATTCGCAATCGTTGTACTTGTTCAGGATAATATGACAAAACTCCAATAGAGCCTTCGTTGTATGGGCCCCATTGTTGCGTCGGCCACGCTCTCCTCAATTCCAGGACACGATTCGCTACCTCTTCCGCCTCTGTGGCATGGTGATATCCCGTGGAACATGTAGCCTAACAATTAGAAATCGATCTGAATGTTCTCTTTATTCTAAAGTCCAACTGAAGAGTTTGATGCAAAAAAAGACAGTATATTCCATATTGTCGAATCTTTTACAAAATTTGATTTCAAAAGTTTACGGTCTAAGAATAACATATATATTTTTTTGCTTCCACATATATACATATTGATATTAATAATTTTTAATAAAAATATATATAGATATACGCACAGTAAAACGAAAAAATAATCTAAAATCGTACGGAAGATTGTACCAAGCTTTTCAATTCTACATTTCTCCCGATGCTTTAAGTAATCCGTGTACCTGTTCTTCCGCACCGTTGACAGCATAAAATATCAACGGTTTCATGACGGGATGCTTGAGCAGTTGCATGTTGGCAGGTTTAACCATCCCGTCATAGAACGTCTCGGACGTGTACTTGATTATATCCGCGTGTGCGCGATAGTTCTGACATAGATGTATCCGACACGGGTGTTCTGGCGGATAGTACGCGTACATTCTCTCCAAAAGGCTAACGCCTAATCCTCGCTCGTTTGCTAGTACGCTGTAGATTTCCGGCGCGAGTTGCATCTGATCACCCGCCAGGAGCAGGCGGGTCTCTCGGTTCGCCAGGGTCAGAGCTATCAACGCCTCGCACTCCATAGCCTGGGCCGCTTCGTCGATGACTATGTGAGTCGGCGATAGTTTAAGACTCATCAGACAGCTGGATGTTGCCAGGGTTGTGACTATTAGACCACAGTCTTGAAAATCTGCTGCAATCGGGTCGCGGAAACGACCATGTTCGTCCATTAGGCAGTATTGCTGCACCGTCGGATGTACCTAAATCGCGAGAATAACCAAGCTTCCATTGTCATAGTTTTCCCTGCAATGCTCAAGAAACTAGGCAACGTTGTTCACCTACCGTGTTCAAAGCACGCAATTTGTAATATATCCTAACAGGTTTAAGTCTGGGGTGTTTATCCTGATTATACCAGATATGGAAGAATTCCTTGATGTAAAGATCGGCGGCGCTGTTGCTATGCGTACACAGAAGTATTCGGTTGTTTTTATTTTGTACGAGCATACGCAGCATGTGCGCTATGGTGAATGTCTTTCCCGTGCCGAATGGTCCCAGCAAAAGGACTGGTGGTGAGGAAGTCTTAATCGATAACGTTATCGCAGTGACTGCTTGCTTCTGTTCCTGATTGAGCGGCGAGTCCAAAAGTAGACTAGAGAGGATACTAAGATTACCAGCGTCAACCTGCAGAAAGTCACGGATAATTTCGTTGTCGGTCTTGTGGTGTTCGTCCATCAGGAACACCAGGTCCATATCCTCCAGACTATCTACCGCCAAGTGCCACTCGCAGAAGTTGAGACGACTCAATACGAACTGTATTTCGACCTCGACCTCGCTGTGCGCTTCCAAATCCCAAAAGGTCACGCATTCTTTGCTCAGTCTGACATATACGGAATGCGAACTCTTATCTTCGATGTGAGCTTCGAAGACGTCACACTTGGTTTTCTTGCGCCACAACTTGAGTAGAACGCTATTACAGCTACGCTGCAGGAGTCTGCCGCTCTGCGTATCATCCAAGATCTCCCGACTGAGTGGGATCTGTGACGACAATAAATTTCACGCGTTGAATACAAGCAGGTGAAAGAGAAACGACGGATCGTTACTCGATTTTAATTCGGAAGTGAACATAGGTAATCGAGTGGGAGGGCTAAGCGAATTTAGCAGAAGATACGCGCGAAATATTCAAAAAAATATATAATGCATATATAAGTATATAATTCGCAAAAAAAAATGGAGGCAAACCGTAACGTGTAACGATCGAAGCAACGCGCGCGACCGCGTGAATAGGGAATAAAAATGACAAGAAGAGTCTCCTAAAAGCCAGAAAGAATCGCACCTGGGCGAAGAGCTCACCCGGCGGCGTGTATTTGGCGATGGTGGAAGCGTCGCTGTTGAACAGCACGTAATGCGCCATGAGACGTAACCACGAAAGCTGGTTGTATCTCGAGAGCTGCTCATGCCGGGCGATCTCCTCGAGAGTGATCATCTCGTGCATGCGACCCCGGTAGTTCCGTGGGGTCAGCCGATTGTCCGACAATGTGTTCTGAGTGAGAATAAAGTTCTGTCTGTCCGGGTACGGATAGATCCGCGACAACTTGGTCTCCCGTGGATTGGCGTGCGGCATAAAGGGCGAATAGAACTCGTACGGACCCTTCCATCTCGGCGGTATCTGCGATTGTTGATAAAACGTCGCCTTCTGTATCCGCTCGTAGTCTTTGATGTGCAAATAGTCTGCGCAGATCCTCTGAAGGTACACCGGGTGACTTAGGAAGCCAAAAACTAGGTCCTGCCGATACGTGCTGTGTTTTTTCGCAGTGAAACCGACCGTCACCAGGTACTGTCTCTTGTTTTCTTGAGAGTTGCCCGGACAGGGACTGTGCCACTCCTGGCCGTTCGTCACGCCGATTTCTGTGCCGTCCTTGTCTTGCACTGACTTGAGGAAGAAGTTGGCTCGATGATCGTCAGATATCAAGGCCACGTTCTGTAACTCTTGACCGCCTTCGGGACCAAGGATTGACAGGGTCAAAATAGATAAATCAGAATAGCTTAAGTAATCGCATTAATGTGTCGCTTGCTGAGGCGTTAGAAGTACAATTTCTCTACTGTTTGACTTTTATATTTATGTGTCAGAGCATCAGAAACAAATTGACGATGACAAAGAGGAGCGTGTTAATCGTATCGTAGCTGTAGCTGATTAAGAAGGGTCACTTGAAAGTTTCTTGGACGATTATACAATTTTATTATTGTGCATGTATTACGTAATAAAATTCGGAAGCGTTAAACTTAAATGTTTTTTGTGTTTGAAAATCTGCCATCGCCGGCAAAACAACGTAGCGTTCAGAAACATAAGGTTTCATCAGCAACAATCATGATCATGATTTACTAACAGGACATGATGCCGGGAGAGAGGGGGGGGAAGGGTCGATAACGCCGGATCTTACATACAACGTCACACTTTTTCGCGAAGTAACGAAAAAGCCAAACAAACGAGATACGTCTATCTCGCTTACCTGTCGTAAAGATTGTAAAACTCCACTCGTAGTTGCCTCTCTTACCAACGACCCTACAATTAGCACTACCGTACAGATAAATATTCACGTTAGGCAGCGGCTCGCACGTGAGAGTCGTGTCCGGATCGTTGGATCTGAACCAGCCATATCGCACCCGCTCGGGGAAGTCTGTGAGATTCGGAGTATTTCCATTGCTCACGCTCGACTCGTGTTCCGTCAGTTCCGTGGCCGCCATGATGGGCGCTCGCGCCTCGCGGTCGACAGCGACTCGCCCCACAGTCGCCGGTAGCCTGCAGCCTGCACCGGCCACGCCAAGGAACGAAGGAAACTCGAGAAATCCGCGACCCGCGTCACAGAACACAAAACTGTCAGCCGCGACGGAGCATCACCGGCGGCACTGCGCACTGGGCGGCACGGCACACGGCACGCGGCTGGCGGCTCTTGCTCTTCCTCTCTCTTCTCTCTCACTTCTCACTCTCCTCTTTCTTTCGTGCGCGCACGCGCGTGACCGGCAGACGTCTCAGATCTCGGATCTCGGATTTTCACGTCACGCAGACAAAGACCGGCACGTTGACCCCGTCATCATCGTCGACCATTCGTATGACGAAACGTTTCCGACTGACAGCAGTCCGCCAACCGGCCAACGTTGAACGTCTACGCCGTACGGCCGTACGCCGTACGTCGTGCGTCGTGCGAGGCCGAGCCGCTGGTCGCCGCTGGGCTGGAGCCGCGCCACTAGTCGACGCGCATGCGCGACTCGAGCAGTTCGTTACCGTCTTTATTGACCGTGGATAATAAAGAGATATGCGTTATCCCTTCTCGGAACGCAGTCGATACAACAGGGATTTACCTTTGCAATCCCGCAGCCCGCAGCGAAGCTAGGGATATACATATATGTATACGTCGACATCGATCAAAATTTGAACAAAAGAAAAATTTTATAATTGATAATATTAATTTTATATTATTAAATATATTATAATTTAGAAATTTCGCGATAGTCTGGATATCGCGTCGAGTTATTTCGTGCAACGCGGTGCTCTATAGCCTGCATTAAAAAACAATTTCGGAGTCATGCACTCTTGGGCGTCTAAAAGAATAATCGGCGTGCGGCGAGTTTACCCCCATTCCCCATTTACGTCCCCGCGCGAGGACATAAAAATTGAAGTTCATGAATAATTTCCCGAAACGTTGCAACTGACACTGAAGGCATTTTCTTTTTCTTTCTTCCTCTTTTTATCGCGGGATATATGAATTAAGTTGCATCTGCAGGGAAGAAAATTTTCATGCAAATCCTTCGCGCTGCCGCGTCGCGCCGACCGAGTGACTAAATGACGATCGCCATTATCCTCTCGCGAGAGTTTCCCCGAGAGGGGTTGAAGCACTGAAAAAGGGGGTGGCTGCAGAGGTATAAGAGCGACAGGTCCCACCGTCGCGTCGCGTTGCGTCGCGCGGTGGATGGGGGTTGAAAGCCTTTCCGACTGGCGACCACTTTGCAAATGGCGGATTTAGTAGACGCGGGACCCCACGAGAGACAGATGAATAAAGAAGAACGCATCGAGCTTTAATTATCAAGGCGATTTAACGGAGTCCCATTGTGTGAGATATAGACTGCACGAACGTGGAGAACAGCAGTCGGGAAACGCGATGCGAAACTTAGTAATCCGAATGTATATCGCGGGAGGCACGATATATATATATATAATCTATAGCTATATTCTAGCTAAATAAATATATAAATCAGATATACAGTTTTTATACACACATATTTATTAATTTTTACATTACGTATTTCTTATATGTATATATATTTATATTTTATTGTGTTTATTTCATTATCACTATATATTATCATTTTTATTGTCATCATTATTATTGTATACATTTATATATGTATATAATTTATATAGTCTTTTTTACGAGCGTTTTCGTTTTAACGACTCGTAGTTTTGCCACTCGTGTACAAAACCCCGGCTCCGAAACATGCCGCGAGATCCGCCACTGTCTCGCGGATCGCATTCTGCAGTGTACACTATACGCACCTGACGCGCGACGCACCGAGCTATTCCATTTGCGCGGCTGACGCGAATGGAGAAAAACACCCTCGGGAGTATCATGAAAGTTGACCAGAGGCAACAGCAAATACGGCATAAAGCGCGCTCAATGTTGATAAAAAATGAGATAGAAGAGATTAAAGTACCTTCAGGAAGAGACAGAGAGAGAGAGAGAGAGAGAGAGAGAGAGAGAGCCTTCCCGTGGAGTACACGGGCACGTCCTTTTGTGAATTTAAACTGGATATTCGTACCTCGTAATGATTACGCTACAATTTTTTTATGACGGACACAGTCCGACTTGCATGGTTGTCTTTTCCACGCGAAACGCCGAGAACGACGTAAAGCTCGGAAGTTTTCGGAGCGGAGTGAATTTTTTGTCTTTCTTTTATTCAAGCTCTCACTTAGCAGCTCCCTTTGTCTTGCGCTCCTTCCGCCCCGCGTTTTAACTCGTTGGTGAACTCGGAGAAATTAGCACCTCGCGCGCATGGTGGTCAAGCATGGTCAAGGAAACCTCGACTGCAGTAGTGCAGTCCCGTTAAAATAAGCTCTCGTCAAGATCAAAGAAGCAGAGGTTTGTCAAGTCTCGACCGCCTGTATGGGATATCGCCTGTGTGATGGGATACGGGCGCGACGTCAGCCGCGGTGAAGGGAGATGAGGGATGAGAGCGAAAACCACGACAGAGGCGGAAAACCGGGACCGATCATCCTTTTCGAGGCGTGCCGTGGACCGGCGTAGGCCGCGTATCGTTAATTAAAATCTGTCGTCGGCGACGCGCGGCCGCGCTGCCTGCGAGAATGCGCTGACACGACAACCGACAACCCAGGAGGAACGGGGTTTACGGGGTGAAAAATCGCGCTAACGAGACGGCTTTCGTTATTGGCTCGGCGCTGCGTCGCTGCGTCGCTGCGATACAAAGAACTATATCGTTATCGAGAGGGAGAGGAAAAGCGGGAGAGAAAGAGAATAAAAAAAAGGAAGAGAGAGAAAGAGAGACTGTGCCTGTCTTTCGCACGATGCTCCGTTTTTAATAAAGCCGTATATCGAGACGTGTCATTTAGCCGTAAGCGTTCTCTCTGTAACAGGCATTTCTCCCGAATCATGACATCCAGGGGGGAAGGGGGATTGGGTGACGTACCTTTGTGAGATAAATTGCCAGGATAACCCGTTTAGTTCCATGGGGAGGGGAGGGAAGGCTACGCCCACGCGTAGCAATCGTCCACATTCGATACATAGTAGAGAAAAATTATGTATTTTTCTCTTCCTCGGTATATACCGCGCAGCTTTCTGATGCAATTAAATAATTAAATCGAAAGATCGTTTACGTTGTCTCGACAGTTTATCAAAGCGCAAGATATATTGCGGAGTCCGTTTCGTTTAAATTCAATTAGCGCCGAGAGGGAACGGAGTCTTAATGAAAAATTATTGCGGTCCTCGAGAGAGAACGTTGCACTTTCGACAGTATGTTGGTACGTTCCGTGTACTCGTACGTACTCATTAATTATATTTGTCGCGCCGATTCACCGCGATGCACTTAAGCGATGATAAATAATGCACGGGTGTGCACGTGCACTCCGCCCCGGGGGATGGAGCGGATTAAGATCCATCAGCGCGGCGCGGCGCGGCACCGACGCAACGTATTCGGATGTTGACGGCCCGGATTTATCCCGTTATTCGGACCATAAACGAGTACCAAACCAATTGGTGCTCGGACGCGAAGCGAATACTGCCCGATCGCGCAATTCGCGGCAGCTGCGAATGTCGTGTGTGAGGCGTACGTCGCGGAGATGACATAAAAATAGAGAGAAAAAGAGAAGCGCGTTCCAAGTCACGCGCACCTGTCACGTTTAGTCTCGTAATTTATGTGACTCCTATCGTTCAGACATCTCCGCTAACGATCGACCTGTCGTGTGGATTGAATAAGTGATCGTTCGAATTTACACCGAATTTTGCTGTTCAGCAGAATTACGAGTATTACGAAAGAATTAGAAGGGAAATAGGGCTATATCTCGGAAAGAAGGGCCAGACTCGAATCATCTGTGACAATCATCCCACGACGCGGTTTCTCGTCGACGAAACATAATTGCACGCGAGTGAGAATCTTAATCCCTTGATAGCTGAACCCCTCCACGTCGAGATAATTCTCACGAAGGAAATTGTGGATGGGGTGAGAGTCGGGATCGAACTTAGAATCTACCGATTATGAGTTAAATTCCTCCACGGAGCAGCACATGTTATTCCACGGATGATATATATACTTATTCTCACTCGTTAATTTACAAAGAGAATACGTTTAGAGAGAATTATTACAAAGGATGCAGTCTGAATATGTCTCTTTCAATTTGATATATCTCTATAAGGGAAAAGAAAGAGAGAGAGAGAGAGAGAGAGAGAGAGAGAGAGAGAGAGAGAGAGAATCATTAGTTTCCCCAACTTGTTCGTGAGAGGCTTGACTTATGTCTTTTTCTGCGGTGATGCATTTCTGTCACGACTTCTTCTTCGACGCTAGAGATGTCTCGGTTAGACAGAGACCCCCTAGTTGAGTTTTTAGCTCGAAAAAGTCTTCCGCGTCTCGGCTATACATTAAACGCGAGGACGAATCGACAGGAACGTCTATTTCAGAGATTCGCGACGCGAGATAAGTCGTCTCTTTCTCCTCCTCTCAAGAGGACGTCCCGCCGCGTCGCGTCGTTGGGCGACATCGTCGAGGACAATGGCGTTGCCAGGTGTCGGAAACGTCCCTGTCGTTCGCCGCGGGGTTGATATCGTGATAGAATCACCCCCCGATTGCAATTGGAGACGGAACGGAATGTTGAAATGTTCCACCTCACTCCCTCTTCCCGCTGATAAGAAAAGTTATTGTCGCCTCTCTTCCCCTTCCCCCTCTCTCTCTCTCTCTTTTTCTCCTTTTATTCGCGCAATTTCGAATTACTTAATGATCGTGCGGATATCGTACTATATTAATTAGAGAACGGAATGATGATTTTTTTTATCTGACCGATTCAGCGATGGAATAAATCTTAAGCTTTTTGTCTCAAGCGTAAATCGATTTCATCGTCTCATCTCCGTTGTGTCGATCCTATATTTTTGTTCCGTCCAATCGATTGCGTATAAAATGTCATCTGCGGATTTTTTAATCAGTTTTAAATTAAATTTTTTACTTTAACCTGATAAAAACGTCGAGATGCATCAAAAGCCTTTAAATTCATATCTAAGACGAAATTGGGGAACGAGAAAGATCAGACGAAATAAGCACGGAATTAATCCAAGTCATCACAGAGCATGCGACAAAGCCCGCTGCGAATGCGAGGGCATACCACAGAATTTCTGTCCGTGGATTCCACTCTGTTTAGAGACTGATTTACTTGAAATTTGCACGTCGTAACACTAATATTACGCGAATTGTACAAGGAGAGATCGGTTGAATAATCTAGGAAGGAAGCTTTCAAACACTGCCTAATAAATTACACCGTGCCATTAGATCTCACGCGCGAGATCTATTCGACTGAATCTAAATTTAATCTCCGCAGCTATGAACGACAGCAGGTAGTCAGATTAACAATTTTACATGTTTTACTGCGTTTCCGTCGAGTAGCGAGCTGTTTTCTAAATTGAATTTAAACGAAGTGAACGGCGAAAGGATTGGTTTACTGTTTAGTTTTTTTTCCCGTAACCCTTTTCCAGCTGATCGGAAAATTTTTCCTTTCAGAAACGTGGAGGGCTACGCGAGGGAGCACGAGGAGGCATCCAGAAACATCCAACAGTATCTATCGAACCCTATAAATGCTTATCTGCTAGTGAAACGGCTAACCACCGACTGGAAAAAGGTCGAGGAGCTGATAACCGAGGATGTCGGCAAGTCTTTCGTCGCAAACATCACAAATTCCAGGAGCGATCTAAAATTCCCGACCGACGAGGACCTGAATGGAGCCGCAGTCGCTTTGATGAGGCTGCAAGACACGTACAAGCTCGAAACCGCGCAAGTTGCGAGGGGTGTCCTGAATGGCGTGCAATACAGTACCGGATTGACCGGTACGTATAACATCTCTCTTCGTATAAACTGTATGGCTCAATTTATGTTATATAGGTATCCCGGAATCCTGCTTACACGTCAAACGATCCTTTTAATCAAAAGTAAATCTCAATCTGTATCGAAGAAATTATTTAATTAGTGTGTAACACGAAGATGTTCCTCTCCGCCCGGTTCCTTTTTCTCTCGAAAATTTAATTAAAATTTCTATGAACGTTCACGAAACTGTTGCGAAAGGCTGCGTTTTCCCTAATATGTAACGTCAAATCTGACGTGAGGAGAGTATAGGTTCGCTGCACAAAAAGTCATTCGCATAAGAATAAATTGTACAATGTGCCGCTCGTTTTTCAAATTATTTGAATGAAAAAGATCATGTATAAGGCAGAAACCGAGGAATTTCGCGGTGCAGAGAGAGAGAGAGAGAGAGAGAGAGAGAGAGAGAGAGACGAAGAGTGCGCTTTGTGGTTCGCAAGAGGAAAATTAATTAACGAACTAACTTTCCGCTATAAGTATGCCATGCCCGCGCTATCGCGTGCTTTTTACTGCAAGCCGAATAAAAAGAAATTCCATAGAACGCGATTCAGATTGCCTCGTGAAAAAAGAATGTTCAATGAAATACCGGATATATACGCGTCTATATCTTACCTTTCTATTTTATTTTTCACTTCCGTCACGTGCGATAATTCCACGTTTCAGCGAGCGACTGCTTCGAACTGGGCCGACAATCTTATCACAATCGCGACTACTATCACACGGTGCTGTGGATGCAGGAAGCTATGGACCGTCTGCAAGAGGAGCAGAACGCCACCACCACCACCTCCAAGCCCGATATCCTGGAATACTTGGCGTTTTCAACGTACATGCAAGGTTCCAAGTAAATTATATTATGCATGTCGTACACGCGAAGAGCACGAGAAAATTTCCAAGGAAAGAAAGTCTGCTCTTCTCTTCTGGTAGCATATGTTTCAAAAATGTTATTCCGTTTTTATCTCCGGTCAGGTAACGTCGCCCGTGCTTTGAGCATGACGAACGAGCTGCTCGAATTGGTGCCGACACACGAGAGAGCGTTGGGAAACCGTGCGTATTACCAAAAGGAAATCCAAAGCAAGGCGAGTCAGTCGAAAAAGAAGCGGGGGGAGGATGGAAAGGATGATACAGCGATACCTGAACAGGTAAAGCCGAAATCAGTCGCGATCGTAATCAGTTTCATTAAGAGGCTGTTGCGGAAATGCAATTTAAATAAAAGTCACGGAAACCTACATTTTGAAAAATTATTGGATTTGCTATAACAAATTAATTTGCTATAGCATTTATCTATTTATCTCGTTATCAGCGCGAAAGATACCGTCAAATAATGGAGAACTTTTTGTCGGCCATTATTTTCAACGATGCGAAATCCTGGAGAACAATTTGAGTTTTCCGCGAGCGTCTATAAAGTTCGTTATCGCGCTTGCAGAACTTCACTGTCGCCGAGGAAAGGGTGAAAACGTGGGAGGAAATGACGGAGAGAGAGAGGTACGAGATGCTTTGTCGCGGCGAAGTATCTATTCCGTCGGAAGTAGAGAAGAATCTCAAATGCCGTTACGTCGACCGTGGAATTCCCTTCCTGAAGATCGCGCCATTTAAGGAGGAGGAGGCGTATCTGGATCCGAGGATAGTTGTTTATCACAACGTGATCTACGACGAGGAAATCGAGACGATCAAGCGGATGGCTCAACCTAGGGTAAATAGTCGCGTTTATCGGAAATTATTGCCCGTTGAAACAAACGCGGCGCGGCTTTTCTGAGACGTCGCCCGCGCCGTGTATACGGTGCACAGTGTACGCCACGCGTTTCCGCGCGCCGTGAAATTGCAGGAATTCCTGGAGTTAATGGCAATTACGTGTTGCAGTTTAAGCGCGCTACGGTGCAGAATTACAAGACTGGTGCCTTAGAGATAGCGAATTACAGAATCAGCAAGAGCGCGTGGCTCCAGGAACACGAGCATAAGCACGTAGCGGCAGTGAGTAAACGCGTCGAGCACATGACGAGTCTGTCCGTGGAGACGGCCGAGGAACTTCAGGTTGTCAATTACGGCATTGGCGGTCACTACGAGCCACATTTCGACTTTGCAAGGGTAAATTGACCATAAGGAGCAATCGGGGAGTTCTCTTCTGCGCGCAACTATTTGCCGCGTGACGTTAATTCATTTCATTTTACAGAAAGAAGAAACGAATGCGTTCAAAAGCCTCGGGACTGGCAACAGAATCGCAACGGTTCTATACTACGTAAGCTCTAATTTTGTACGGTTTGTTGCGCGCTGACAGCTCGGAATGATGATGTTACAATTGTCTCTGTTGTCTACAGATGAGTGATGTCGAGCAAGGAGGCGGTACCGTATTCACCGCCATCAACATATCGCTTTGGCCGAAGAAGGGTAGTGCGGCATTTTGGCATAATTTGAAGCCTAACGGTGAGGGAGATTTTAAAACCAGACACGCGGCTTGCCCGGTACTTACAGGATCAAAGTGGGGTATGTTAATTGTTGAAGCGTTCCTTGCTTCTAAAGTTTAATATTTTATTACGCAAATATTATATTACAATTTATTTTTTCAGTGGCAAACAAATGGTTGCACGAAAGAGGTCAAGAATTTCATAGACCTTGCACATTGGAAAATCAGGCGACGGATGAGGTGGACGTTAGGCACTGAAGAGAGCGTTCCTCGACTGTGACAGAAGAAATAGAAGGGACGCGATAAATAAGATAAAAGAAGTACTACGAAATACTTGAAAATTCCTGCTCTGAATAAAGAGACATTTTAATCTCGAAACGACGACTCCGTAAGGAAGCTCGCGGTACGAATTGTCGTTTAAGAACGAGTAAGGACATTTCGGCCCGCGTGCAAAAAGCGACAGTGCAATTTAGCGTAGATAAACAAGCTGCGAGAACGCTGCTCGCGTTTACGAGAAAGAACGTCACTGGCGCACACAATTCGCATAATTTAACATTCGTGCTGCAGTTCTGTATGATGATCTTTCTTGTTGGTTTACTGTGGAACACGATCCCTCGCATTACGACAACGTAAGCGCGCGCGCGTGCGATTAATGTTTCCTTAATCTTCGAGATATCCGGCTGCAGGCGAAAACCGGTACGAAGCAACAGAGACTATCCGAGCGAGATTAATCGACTGCATTGTTTCCCGTACGCTTTTTCCTTTGAAACGAAAATCCTGTAAAGCAGAGATTGCCGCTGTGCGCGAATTGCGGCAATTGCGATGCAACAAAGTTACTGTTTACGGCACGGATCTGCATGCGTTCTATTTGTAGTCCGATTCAGCATTGCCTGCAGTTCGTCGTTTTGCAGTTTACGTCTACGGCGAATGTAACGTAGAATAGTTATTTGGAATTAAATGCGTGAGACGAAATAAACGGACGTAAGTGTAAAGCGGAAAAATGAAAGAAAGATCTCAGCAACTCTCACTTGAACGAAATAAACGAAAGAGGGGAGGAGAGAAAAACAGAAAAACCGCATACAACCGGATCGGTTTGTTGCATGCGGAGTTTCGCCGTTTAAACGGACTATCCGCGGTGAGAACGAGGTATCGCTCCGCCGTTCGCTAACGCGTAACGTTAATTGTTTATACGAAAGATTACCGATACGCTAATAAGATATTACACTATGCATCATAGCCAAAGCAATAATAAATTGCGCACGTTCTGGCCAGTCTCCCCTTATCGTAGTTTATAGTATAGTGCGATGTAGAGAAGCGAAGAGCGCGATGTAATCATTAGCCCGTAGATTAATTGTAATTCGAGCGTGATCGTTAACGTGATTCACGAAGCCGTATCTCAACCCCGACGTTATAGAGCTATAACGAGGTACTTCCGCTGAGATGCTCCAAGACCGAGAATCTCCTGTAGCGACGGATTGCTTTCATCGGCTGTAAATAGCGGATGGCACGCCGATCCTGTATCATCCGATCCTTCCGATCAGGCTGTATACGAATCGTTTGTATAAAGGTGGACAACGCTGTCCGATGACGACGCTGCACTTCTTAACGGCGATGTAGTATAAGTATATATGGTGCGAGGATAACCTTTCGCACGTCGTATTCAAGATCATCCTATTGTAGCGGTGCTCAAATTATAGTTGATTTTATTTTAATAATAATAAAAGAAAGATTGGGATTATTATAACGAAATATATCATGATAAAGACAGGAAGAGGCATACTTGTATGTTTTTCACATACAGCGCAAAAATTAACGAAAGAACGAGTCTAATTAAGAAATGATTCTGGAAAATTACGTAATTGTTGGATTTAAGTTTTCTTTTTAAAAATAATGGAATAATGTAGCTCAGATTACTTAATTTTTACTACTTATTTTAAAAATTAACATTTGTGCCACAGCACTGTGATTTGTGCTGCGTTACTAAACATTACAACGTTTATATGTATGTGTTTTATTCGTGTAGAAAATTTGGGAACCGCTGCTCTACGGTATTATAGACGGTTCAAGTTTGTGGGTCCGAGTATCCCAAATCGATTGTTAATATTTAGCACCAGCTAGCACTAACGTGAATATACGAAATATTACTTCCAATCGAGATTCCAACGACGAACGTGCGCGAAAATTGTCTATATCAATCGATCCAGCACAACTACCGCGCGTATATGTCACTTAAAAATCATACCGTATTTCGATAAAATCTATCTATCGTTTAAGTTTGCTGAAAATTCCATGACGGTAGCCCTATATTATAACTCGTGTTAGGATCACATTTACTATACTCATCTCTAGAATCATATGGCGCTTCAGAATTTATGTTTACGTTAAAACAGCTTATATGGTATATGTCACTTTTCTTAATTTTCTAATTTTTAATTTTTTTAACGATATGCTCTCTTAGCAACGATCGATTTATTCGGATATATTTACCCTGATCTAATATTTACTGCTAATCAGCCTGATTATTTTATCAATGCTATATAATTATTTATATATACAATAATATAGAGATTACGACTTTACATCGCAATCTTTGCACATATTGTGAATTATATTACTTTCTAGCTATTTTTGCGCTCTGTATAATTCCAAGTCCAATTTCTTCATGTTAGATACATTATTTGAATTATCGCTGTAAAAACTCGGTTTTAAGGACCAACGCATTTTTGTCGGAGTTGAACTTGAGTTAGGAAGTAAGTCTTGATCGAAAAAGTAGCCTTTGAACGAAATTATGTTTTGACGATCACTACACCGCGCGCAGTTACTTGCTATACTTTTAGAAAAAATCTGCAAAATAAATTTTCTACCAATAATTTTGTATATATCACCTCGCGCAATATTGTGTCACTTACGTCATTTAATATGAAATGATTATAAAGAATGAGCGGAGAATGAAGTAAAATTAATGACGATGAGGAATGCAAGAACGAGACAGTTCCGATCGCCTCGTTAAGTATGAGCGACTGATATCTATCTAATTGTGATTACCATCGTTTTGTTGAAAAACGAAGAAAATAAATAAAATGAAATGCATCACAGAAACGCTGCTGAAATCCTAACGAAGCGCGTGTCGTTATTTGTAATTCATCGTTCTCAAATCGTGTATCAATTGACGAGTACGTTAAAAATGGGGAGACTCTAGTGTCAGTCATAATAAACATTCGTAAATTTAAATTCCGAAAAATTCTATTGTAAAAAAGCACATTCCTCATTTTTCATTTCGTTTTTTTATGCGTAAACTGTAAACATTACATTCATTATTTCTATAATATGTATATAAAATGTTTGACAAATAATGACATGTGTTAATTATTGGAGAATAACTGATGGTTTTGCTAGAGGTTTCGCTAACAATAAGTGACAACAATAATTATTTATAATAAATTGTTTTTTTCGTTGATCAGCTTTATACGATCTTATTAATTTTAGTAAATTTGCAGATCAATAATATACAGTATTCGAATTGACGTGTGTATTGCGTATCTTATTTATATGGTAACGGGCAGAGAGAACCACGCATTTCGACGCGTGACAGATTCACGGATGCTTGCGACAGTCGACGATCAAAACAATGACAGAGGTCGAGTAGCTGTTAGCATTAGCACCTGTGGTGGAATAACAGTTTCCTGCCGTTCTTTACGTGAGTAAGTATCGTTTCGCGGAGCGTGTATTCCAACGACATTATTAACGTTATCAATAATTTCATATATATATATATGTGGTAAGATTAACAAAATTCAATAACTGATTCTGTATAAAATAGGTTTCGACAAAAGCCCGTTTATCACAGATTAGGAACATAGGTCAGGTTACAGCATATATGTTTACAAGGTAAGAGCATATTTACAGATTTTGCGATTCGAAAAGCACGCGAGATTTTATCTAACGACTACGTTTATTTGTTACAGGCTTCAGCCTCACGCAGATAGCAGAGCTAAGCTGGTAACGGCCTAGAAAAACTTGCATGGTGTTTGAGTACTATCGCATCACGAAGCAAGCGGTCGTGGATGTACGCGGAGTGCACACGGAATCCTCTATTTGATAAACTAGCAAAAACAGTATCCTTTCTATTCATCGCATGAAATGATAATTATTCTACCAATTTTGTCATGTTTTGCTTAACGCTCATATCTTACGGGTGCAAGATAAATCACGGGTGAACACACAGCATTCCAAACACTATATTTGTCCTTTACACTGAAGGAGACTTTAATATAACGAGACTGTGTATAGGCAGAAGTCATGGAATCGAAAGCAAGAAATCGAATTAATAACGACTATACCAAGTTTTTCTACGCGACGATGTGTCACGTTTGCAAACGGTTTGGCGACGGCGTCCTTTTAAAGAGGTGCGGTGACTGCAGGATGATCTCCTATTGTGGTAAAGAACATCAGAAGCAGCACTGGGAGCAGCACAAACCTTTGTGCGAAGCCATACGGGACATGCCGCGAGACTACAGGATGGATTATCGCGGTGAAACTGCAGAGGAATGGGCCAAAAAGAAGATGTTCTTCGCGCAGCTAGTGTCGTCCAGGCTGGGACGTCGCCTGCATGTGGATGAGAAGGAGATTATCTATTTTCCAAAAGAGTGTCTAGTTTGCCACGAACGGGAGTCGTTGGAGAGTTGTCAGAAGTGTGCTGCCAGCTTTTGTCAAATTCACAAAAACAACCCTGACCACTGGGGCATCTGCGCTCCCCTGCAACTACGTTTTTACATAGATTTAAATGAGATAGGAAAGGGAAACGGACTTCCGGATATTCCTGTCGTGCGGGAAGATACTTCCTGCACTAGTACATTTCAGAACATGAGAGACTTTATAGAGGCTCGTTGGAATATTCAGACTGACTCGCAGATGTTGTACGATGTCAGGGTGGGCGAACTCTCAAGAGATCTGACGTGTCCCTTGACGCTGTTTTATGCTGTGAAATTGTTAAACTATGATTTAAAAGGCACATTTTTAGTCATTCATATTGTAGGTGCAACGTGCATCGACAAAGCTTTGGTACGGAAGTGGAAATTTTTTCAGATGTTAATGAAGAGACTGATATCAATAAAGATTGTAATGATAGGGCCGGGCTTAAAACATAAATTCGATCCGTTACGCACTGATGACTTTCTTGGGGAAAACAAATATTTGTTTTTTGAGTACCACGATGTGTCATACGAGAAATATGTGCGCAGTTCGTCATTCAAAAAACCGAACTTGATTTTTGGATTTTCTGTGACTATTGATGAGAAAGATAAGGATTATGAGGATCTTGTCTTTAATAAGGATATATCGGCGCCATCCATACAAGCGTTAGCGAAACAGAATTGTCCGTTCGTCTTAACGTTTACTGTGCTACAATGTTTTCAGGAGCAGATAAACAAAATAAACACAATCCTGGGTAAGGAGGTAGATTATCTGTATAAGGGAAAGAACCCATTTGCCGAATGTACACCGCAAAGAGGCTTTGGGTACGTAAACTACGTTAATCAGTATTTAGTTATTTACCGAAGTCTTTGTTCGTAAATGATATGCGTAATTTAAGTTACCGATACAAACTGAAGGCTGTGTTTCATGCCGAAAAAAACGTTGCGCCTGCGAAATGAAAGAATATGAGTTAAATGGAATTTTACGTTTAAAAAATGCAACGGAAGGGACACAGAGATAACTGTATGAACTATAACCGCGAATCGCAACGCGTTATCACGAAATAAACTGCAAAAGATTGAAATCCGACATTCCGGAATGTCTTATACTTATATTTATAATCCAAGAAGCCATTATTTACTTGTTGAATTGATTATCTTATATCTTATATAGTACAGCATATAAATGGATTATAAATATAACAGGAGTGGATGTGGTAACGTCAAATATTATTACAATAGTTTTTAGTTCTGTTTGTAATGAAGACAAACCTTTTCGATAATTTTTATAATAAAATTTATATCTTTGTAATAAATATGTATCAAGCATCTATATATGATGGTAATAATTATTTCTGTTTCGATATTTTCTGATATCACATGTGTGAAAGGCCGACAGCTTCTTGTGACAGTCTTTGATCGTAAATAATGGCAGAGATTGAGTGTGTGGTCCTGGCTTCCTATCCTTCTTTACGTATGAGTATCGTTTCGAGAAGCATGTATTTTTTAACGAGATTATTAATATTACATCACGGTGTCGAAACAAAAAATGTATCCTGACAACAAGGACCTGAATGCTTATACAAAACGGAGGGCAAACAATTCTACGTAAACGATTTCGACAAGTTCCCTAATATAATATAAATCTCAAAAACGCG